GCAAATAGTTTTAAACTCATTAAAACTATGAGTTCACACTATGAAAGACGCTAAATATAAAATAATAATTAATATAAACAACAGATTTTCATTCTCCGTTTGGTCCTTACTAGCTCGACCTTTGGACGCCCAGTAAGTCTAGTAATTCAGGTTCTTTCAAAAAGGGTCTGGAGTGACAATGAAATTAAAATACAAACAGCGCTACAAACTACGTATTCTGTGATATTCCAAATGCTCACAAAATAAGAACCGCAACAAGAACTATTTCTAGAAGTATCTTATAACTTTCTTTTGCAGCTATTAATCACAGCTTTTTTAACCAGTGCAATATAGAGGAAGAACGTTGGTCTGTGGGATATTCTTAAGTCAACAGAATGAACAATAATGTTTGAGCATTATGCCAAGCTAATTCGAAGGCTTGAACGAAAAGCAAAGCTTTAGAGTAGGACCCAGTTGTGTTGTAATGCGTGAAACGATTTACACATAGGAGCAAGCTGTTCAACAATTTTTAACACACGACAAGGATGTATTTTCGATTTACCACTCCATTACTACAATTATCTATCATGGTCATATGAGACCTGGTCTAGAGTAAACACATTTCATTGTTATTAAAGTTCAGAAACATGAAGTATTGCAATTAATCTTTTTTTTCTCCAACCAAAAACGACTCACTTTCCGTCACTCACGTGGAAAGAAACTGCAGCAGCAACAACACCACGCCGCTCTGTGACCCGGAAGCGATTGTCTCGGTACCTTAGCAACTCGCAATTTCATTTCCTGTGCTTCCGCGTCCTTAGCAACCGAGGCGACATGGCCAAAGTGATAGCGGATAAGAAGTCTTTGTGGCAACAGATTTGTGAAGGTTCGTGTGCATTACTTTTTTGATCCCGTGAGCGAAATTTCAGGAAATTACTGTGTCTTGCGCACTGCAATAGAGAGTCCACAGGGCAGATGTGATGTTTGTAGCTGGGCTGTAAAAGTCAGTGTCAGTTAGACAAGTGTACAGTAGATAAGTGCAGTGTAATGCATGCTAGTATTAAAAACATAAATTCTACACACAGAATTGGAGACACTGAGCTAGAAGACAAAACTTATGAAAAGACTGTTTATGTGGTGATGCTGACCTGTCATTTACATCTTCTTGACAAGGTGTGGAAGCGTTTTAAAAAGCAACCTAAATTCTAGGAAAAGCAGTTAAATGCATAACATTTAAATCAAGAGATGTTATGTTTAGATAACATACTGTATAACACATTAGTGAGGCCTCATTTAGAATACTGAGCAAAATGTTGTTCAAAGAAAAAAATATGTAGAAAAGATTTTGCCGCTCTGCAATAAGTTCAGAGGTGTAAGGAATCAAAACGTTTAGTCTTGAGCTGGAAAACCGAGAGAGAAACTGATACAAGTCTTCTCAAAGAAGAGCAATTCTCAAAGGCACTGATAAAGTCAGCCTGGAAGAATTCTTCGAATTAGCAAGGAAACATGAACCAGAGGACATGATTGGAAAAAGTCTCGGCTCAATTAACAGCAGCAAGAGATTCGTAACAAGAACAAAAAACAACAACAAAAACGTTTCAGGGGTTATCTGGTGATGTTGCCTGAGGGCTGTGTTACATGTCCAGTCTGTGTTTGTTTGTGTTGTAGAGTATGAGGCGGAGCAGCCCCATGCTCCTGGTGTTGAGCCTGGGGACACGGACTCAGTGGACACTGATGTCTCACAGTTCAGCGCCAGCAAGCACACGCCTGTGTTCTATGGACTCATGGCCACCAAGGTGACACCAGAAGATTGATTTTTTTAACGGGACACCTAACTTCTAACTCCATGATACAGCTTCGTTTCCCAGCAGCATCTGTATAGAGTAAGGGGTCTGTACAGTTTCTTACAGGTGGCCTAACTTTCAATGTGCAAAAGAGTTTATTCCTGGAAGTATGAAAAGGGATTTGAATTTAAATGCCATGAAGGCACTATTTTTAAGCTCCGGGGTTAAGGTTTCTAGATTTTTGTTGCATAGGGTATTGTGTTAAGGGGTTTTTAATTACAAAACATAAAGATCAAAACAATTTTAAAAATCTGGTCCCGGCACTAGCTTACTATATAATAAAATGATGAAACTAACAATAATTAAGCCACTTATAATCGGGGAATACTGAGTGTTACATAGCAATTGCGTTCTTGGCTTCTCTGGCACAGTTTGGTAATATAGCAGTAACCAGGCACCTATTTAATAAGACAGACAGATATTTATTAAAAATACATTACACAATAATGTTTACACTGCCATATATAACAATGCACAACTCTGTGAGTACCAGAGTACTTCCAAGACACAAAACACTTTAAAAAGAGAACAATATCAAAGAGGGATTCAAGAGAATACAAGGATTAAATGAGATTTCCAGGATTAAATGAGTCTTTAATGGGTGGTAAATGACAAGGAACCGATTTCTCTTTTCCAAAATACTGCAACACTAATCAATGAGGGATGTCTTTAAGCCTGTGGATTCCACATTTAGGAGATCAATATTTCCACCAATATAAAAGAGCACATTCCTTTACTTAAGAGTAAGGTCCTATTCCAGTACTCTAATTACCTGGACACATTCTGGCTTTTTAGTTTGTATGAAGGCGATGTCTCTCTCTCGGCCCAAATCATTTCTGAAGTGTTGTTCCCCTATCATCTGAGTTGTTTCTGTTCCATTTGAGATCTACTGTACCCCCTTAGATATTGCATGTCATACAGTATTTATGCTGATTTGAGGTCTACTTTGTTCATGAAGACTGGATTAACAACTTCTCTCTGAATAATCTAGTTGATGTTTAATATTGATGTTCACTGTTAAATAATGATGTTCTAAAATAACGGACTTAACAATTTAATGAAGAATTTACTTTAGCCTGAGTTAAGGATTAGCAGTATGTTTAGTCATGTTTGCTGCCTCAAAGACTTAGGTCAGCTGTGTAAAGACTTGAATATTTTACATCATCATTTTGGAATAGGGTGTTTTTGTTGGGAACATCAAACATTTCTCTAACCCACAGAATGCAATATGTCACACATTTGCCTTACAGTATAGATTCTCAATTTAGAGTCAGTTGAAAATAGTGTGTTTTAGTCATCTCTAACAAGGAATTCCCACAGTTTTAGAGGACCACTGATGCAGGATGGGCTTGAGTCATCTAGGCTATTCATGACTGCTTGCTGAAATTGTGTGACTTCAGTAAAGTGAAGCACATGACTAGTATATAATGCAAGTTGCATTTGAATACAGCACCTGAGAGAAAGTCAAATTCAAATCTATGGATATTGTTCACCTTAGAAAGCAAGCATCTTTGTTCCAGCCGTGACTCAAAAACAAAGTCAATGAGTTTAAAGACTGAGAAGAAACACCAGTAAACACAAGTATAAAGAATCCATCAATTTATATCTGAAGGAAAGTGAAACACTGAGCATGAACAGGAGGAATATAACCTTGACGACATGAAAGAAAAAAAGATCAGAAACAACATAATATTGTGAAAGGAAGGCAAATAACTAAGGTGTATTTGCAGAATATATATAGTAAAAGAACATGCTACATTATGGGAACTGTGGTGTAGTAATACAGTATTTTTGTATGAGTGAGGAGACAACTGAAAATCAGCAGTTACAAACCAGCAGTGAGTTTAATACCTGCAAGATAGATGATTCTCACAAAAGTACTCAACAGGCCAACAAACAGCAGACCAAAATGGGTTCAAAACCATGGACGATCTGCATCATGGATCATCATGGATGTTATATCAAATGTATAATAAGTGTACACATTTGAATGTGGTAGGACACTGGAGACAATTAACGATTCACAGTGTCTATTTAGATCAAAGATCAAGTGAGATGTGTCAGTCTACAATAGCGTTAATTTAAAAAGTAAAATGGTCTATTAGAGGGCCCTCTGTCCATGTACAGAATGACTGCAGTAAAAGAGCCATGTCATCAAATGCATATGATTATTAAAAATTACTCCTTTTCCCTCTCTCCTCTGTGTCCAGGTGGCAGTAGACTGTGATCCACTGTTGGACTTTGATCCCCTTCACTCTCACCCTGCCTTGGCTGGCTATGCTGTGTTAGAGAGATCCCCCCCTTCAAGACTCCCAGCTACTCACCCCATTGACCCCAAAAGCTGTAAGTCTTTTAAAAAAAGTATCCTTAAGGACACTGCATAAAGTGCAGAGAAAATGTTTGTAAATCCCCTAGGTTGGTCTTTATTATCCTGTATTTTAGGCCTAAAACATATTTCTGTCTTCATGAAACTCATAACAGAAAATGAAGATTTGAAATGAAAATGAAAACATAGAACACAAATAAACAAAGTATATTTGTATTACTTAGTTAATAAAATGATCTAAGAGTAATTATCCTCGTACAAATAAGGATAATTCCTTAAATTAAGTAACTAGCGGCACCTCCTTGAGCAGCAATGACTTCAACTGCATGTTTCTTGCTAAGATTTATCACTCTCTTGCTTTGGTTTTATGAATTTTGGTGTTTCGTATGTATTTCATATGTACATGCATTTCGTTACATAACTATTTAAACTCAGTGGCATTTCAGGTCAGTTCATTTGTCATATACACAAGTGCAATGAAGTGCTTATTTGCATGTATGCTCCAATACAAGGACATTAAAGGACTCGCCAAAAACAAACACAGAACAGCAGCAGCAACAACAACAAGCTTAATAACATACAACTTAAAAAAACAGTCAGACAAGGAGTGTGAGAAAACAAGAACCTCCGTGTGAGCCAGTGGCGGGGATAGTGTTCAGCAATCTGACACCTTGTGGGAAGAAACTGTCGCTGAGTCTGGGGAAAGTGAGAAACCAGGATGACTGGTATCTTTAGCGATGCCTCCAGCCTTCCCGAGAGAGCGAGTTGTAAAAATGTCCACAGTAGAGGGGAGCTGTACTCCAATATTCTGCTCCAGAATTTTAGGATACAACTTTCAGTTCATGGCGCTCACAATAATGAAAAGCTGTACAGTAATAGCAGGTACTGTACTACAGCAGCAAACTAGCCGCAAGTCAAGATTCTCCCAACACCATGCTTGATGGTTGGGATGGGGTTCTTCTTTTGAAAGGCATTGCTCAGTTTTCTTCACCAAAACATTTCTCATTGTGGTAAAACGTTCAACTTTTGTCTCATCTGTCCAGTGAACATTCTTCTTGTAGTCTTGTAAACCATCCAGGTTCTCTCTGTTGAATTTCAGATGGGTGCCAGTGTTGTTCTAAGAGAGTAGATGATTCTTTCTGCTTATCCTACCATGAAAACCTTATGAATTAACTCAATTAATTTTCCATTAAGTAATTTCCTGAAACACTAACTGATGAGTATCAACTACTCTTTCTCTTTTGATCATGGCATGACAAGTTTCCACTAACCTGGATGGCGAAAGACAAACTCACAAAGTTTCTGACCATTACATAGAACAAGGCTCATTCTTTGTTTACTTCTTACCTACTGGAATTATTTCACCACATGATTCTAATTATCCCCTTAATTGTGCTGATAACCTAGGTGTTCACTCATTATTTCACATGCACTGATTCTTGGTATTCATTTGTTTCTACTTCATACTCATTGCATCTCAAAAAACATTGAATTGGTAAATATGCACAATGCATTGGGAAATATACTGTACACAATAACCATTTGGCTATTTAAAAAAGACTGGTTTTGATAAAACAAGTATATCATCGTAAAAAAATTGTAATTCTCGTTGTTATATTAGTGGTTCAGAGACTTTTTCTCAGCATTGTGTACAGCACGTACAGTGTGTACTGTATATTTCAATTTCATAAATCATGCAGCAATTACATGACATTTCTCCTGGCGACTTGTCTTACCTGGTCTGATGAAAATTAGTACTGAACAAGACTATATCACTCTGTTTCAATGGGCTGCAGTACAGCTCCCAGGCTATTCAGGGGAGAGGGTAATTCTCGAGCAAATGGTTTGGTGAATCAGTATAAAAAAGCCCAAATAGGATATACTTTTGCATTGTTTTTTTCTTTTTGTTTGAAGCTTGTAGTTTGAGTTACGAGATGGAGTGGCTGTGGGTGGCTAGTCATGAGTGATGCTAGATAACCATCTGTTATAATAGTTCCTCTTCACAATTTTCATCTGCATGTTTTTATTACAAAATCTCCTACTGAAGTGGTTTTGTGACAGTGATTTCTAATAAATAGAAGCTGAAAGCAACTTATTAAATTCTCAAGTTTTTGTCTTCTTGTATTTTACCTTGATTGACAACGTCTCCGTTAAGATAAAATTAAGAAAACACGTAATTAAAATCTGCAGATTCAGTACTGAAGACCTATGGCTGTCTTGACATCGACTGAATGGATTTTCATAGCATCAAAGACAAAAGCACACCACTTGAACAGAAAAGCATATTTAACTCTCAGGGAGATTTGTGACAACCAAAAGTCACAACACCAGTTTATAGTTAAAGGTGAGAATAAAACACCCCTTAAAGGGAACTATTGCATTCGCTGGTTCCTGTGTACAACCCTGACCTTTACAGTCCTTTCTTCCCAGGTTCCCCTAGAGAGTTCCTGGAGCTTGCTGTGTTCCCTGTGCTGCTGCCAGGTCTGGAGGCCATGCTGAGAGAAGCACAAAGCCAGCACTGCCTGGAGGTGAGCACAGACACTCACATACGGTACCTACCTCGCATATAACATGAAAGTTCCGCAAACGTGCCAAATTAGAGGAATGGGCAGAACTGGAACAAATGCATTTGTCTGCATTGTTTTTTGTCCAATGTGAATTGGAGGCTTAACAAAATTTTTGTGCAGGCTTTCCCGACAGAAGTTTTCACCAGTTCATGCTGCTTGCACCTGCTGTATTATTACCAGAATTGAACCCTGTGGAAGAATTGGCCTCTTGAGCTCAACCTGAGAGAGGCAGTACCTCAGTGGGGCTCTGTGTGGTACATACATGTATTTGTGTGCCATCCATACTTCTTTCCGGTCAGATTTCTGAAAGACTGACTTTCTGCAGCTTTTAGTTTCTCAGGAGCAGTGAGGGAGCGGGGTGTATGTGACAGTTTAAACGCGATCAAAATATCTGAACGACTTGAGGCAGTGGGAAATTCTAGACACTATGACGCAACCCGGTTCTTTACAAAGTCACCCAGGGGCCAAGGTCTCTTTTTTTTATTACAGCTGTGCTTTTTCCAAGCTGCCAGTGAATTGTCACTGGTTGGAGGACAATGCTACTGTCCAGGAGACAGAAATTGGAGCACTGTGTTTCCCTGCCACCTGCTGTGGCTCTAATCAGTTCCCTTCATTGCTTCCTCTCTCTGTCTTTTAGATTAGCACGACTCTCCCAAGCTCTTTTTTATTTTGGTTTTCCGCTAGCTTACTGCATTTTTTATTTTAGCAAACCATATCGAGAAACCTTGACACTAATACAGAACTGGGAAGGGCTGATATGCACGAAGGAAAGGAACTAGCCACCCCACCCCCCCATAAAGGTCATAGAGAGGTTATACAGTATGGTTATTCTTTTACGTTCATGTTCTTGGTTATTCATTCGAAACCCTAAAAGTCAAAGTGAATACAAAATTCTGCAAGTCTTCCTAAATTACTTAGAGACTGTTTTGTGTTCATTAATGGCAGAAAATCATGATTATATACATTATGATTCCATATTGTAACACAAAATTTTGAAAAGCCCAATGGGGATGAATACTTTCAGTAGCCACTTGTAGAACAGACAAACCCAATCAAAGTGGTTCTTTTACCAAAGCTATTGTACAGTTGATTAAAACATTCTAGTAGAATATCCAATTAAAATGTCCAGACTGGTTAAATTTCTAGATCCTACTTACAACTCCTCCTAACATGGCCTACCAGACAGTAGGCCAGTGTGTCTCTTAGCCTCAAATTTATAATAAAGTGGCCAGGGAATGAAAGCTGTGGAGAAAAACTCTTCATTTTGCAATCAAATTTTTCTGTGCTTTAATATTTCTCATAATATGATGCTAAACTGTACATTTTAGAACAATAATGTTTAATAGTAGGTCTGCTCTATGTGTACAAATTAAGCCTCCTAAAATGTAAAAAAAATCATTGATCTGTTAGTGTAATGTTGTCAAAGCACCTCTTGTCTTCTTCTGGCAAGTCACTACTATAGGCACTAAAAACATTGTAGAACTTTGTTTCTAACTCCACAGTGCAGGTTAGAGGCTTCTCATTTAATATCACTGTCTTCACAAAATGTCTGACGAGAGACCAGTGAGACAGTGAAATCCCCTGGGGCAGTTCTGTATCTGCTGCCGCACACAGGCCCTGTGACAAGTGAAGCTAAGCCGATGGCTTGAGTGAACCCATAGCCGCCCACAGTAATAAGCCTTTTACACAGATTGCTTTTCGCCTTGTGCTTTCAGACAGTGCTTCACAGTAGCCTAAGCACAGCCTTTGAGCAAAGTCCATGTCAGGGACGTTCTGTGCACCAGCAGTCCCTCAGAGGCATACAGTCCCGTAGTGTATGTGTCATGTGTCACTGACATCCTCCTACACTTTTGTTTTGATTGATTTATAACATAGCTGTTGCTCCTCTGTAACCGCTTCTGCAATAAATGCCTTTGAACTTTGAACACAGTATATTTTAATTTACATTTTATGTAATAGAAGTAAATTCTCAATTGCCTAGCAGTCTCCTGACTGACTTTTCCAGTCCTTTATTTGCCTCAACATTCCTTTGAAGAATTGGAGATTTGCTACAGTAAATGCCCGGACTATGGGCTTCAAGCGAAGTGCCAAAGGTGCCTGCGACCATAAAAAGAAACGACAAAAATGAGTGACAATGAGGTTTAAGATAATGATTATAGTGATTATGATCATTATTCATTCAGAGGGATGCCTGATTTAATTTCACAATCCCATAGACATTATCTTCTCAGCAGGTCTCATACTCCTATTGTACTGTGCAGGGTAATTATTGCAGCGAAATGGCATTCCTTGGTTTGACACTGCCCTGCAAAGCCATCATGGTCATTATACGAAAGGCTGGTAAGGCTTCCCTTCGGTTTGCGAGCTCCAAGCAGACAGGATGCAGATGTTTGTTGGTAAAAAGCCAGACCCCCCCCC